GCAAAAGTAAAGCGTCACCTTGCATATTAATAAAAGTATTTGTGTGTACATCTGGTAACAAACTGCATGTGTAAAGGAAGAAATATATATGTTTATTTCTCAGAATGTTCGGTAATACAGTATGTTGATTGTGATGTGTGTGTATTTATATATGAACACATTGTACTGAAGGGGGGTAAGAATAGCTTGAGCTACCTCATACCTTCGTGTGTATTTATACCTCAATAAACTTATTTAAATTTAAATTTAAATTTCTGCTCAGCTTATGATGGTTTCTTTGATCTGGGATTGTTTTCAGAAAGCGTTGTCTTTGCCTTCTCTGACTTCTGGTTGTCACATGGGGAGCTTCATACTGTACTTAGCTCTGGGGCTTTATTTCTTTTGGCCCTGGTGGGCACTTTGTTCATTTACAGCTGGCTCCTCCTTTTTTTGGCGAAGATAGTGCCTCTTGGCTTCCGAAGGGGCCCTGTGGTGGTGGACGCTTGGTTGGTTCAGCTGGGGGTGCATCATGTGCTGCAGCTCTTAGCAGCTCTGTGCCGCTACCTTAGTGACACCTGTTCTGCTTTGGTGGACTCCTTGTGGGTTGAACCGGTTTCACTGGTTTTCTATTCCAGGGCTTGTGTTTCTTTGGTCGTCTGCAGTGTTTTTATATATACAAGAGTTGTTACATTCTTGTACAGCCACTAGTACGCATAGCGTTTCGGGCAGGTCCTTAATCCTATGTTCCCTGGAATATGACATCATGAAATCGTTTAACAACCAGGTACCCATTTTACTGTTGAGTTAAACAGAGGCTACAGTTAAGGATTGACACCCATATAAAGTCTAGCCGGCATGTGTTCTACCCTCATGCCAATGATACGTGTAAGTATGCTGTTCTTTTGGCAGTCTTTGCTCATATGTCTTGGGCTAGTATTTGGGAACAGTATTTTTGGCAGTCAAACTGTGTCCTTGCAGCCAGGTATCTTGTGGACATTACCGGTCCTCGGCAGCCTCGTGTTCCTCGGATCATGTATTGCAGCCAATGGTCTCTTCTTTATCTTGATACCTTCGGTGCTTCTGCTTTTCTTGTCATTGCCCTTTATCTTCCTTCTCCGTGGGTAATTAGCGTCAGGGATTCACAAGGAGCTTTCCCCAGAAAACCAGAGTTGAATGTAATGAAATGCCAATTTCTGGGTGAGACCCGGTGCCTTCCTGACAAACTCTTCCCCCCCCCCCCTTCCGCCCCCTCTTTCTAACCTCAGGGCGTCGGGATGGTTTCCATCATCATAACAACAGGTGGTGGAGCAGCTGATTTACCTGGTCTGCCTCACTCCTCCCTAATGAAGGGGAGGTGGGGGTGAATTATTTTCACAAATTTTTGATAATTTGTTTACATTGTTGTGGAAGTTCTTTTAGCTGTTTTGAGGCTTTGGTCTCATTTCTAACAAAGTCGTCTGCAAAGTCTGTTTGTTTTGTTTTGCTGACTTTCTGGATGTTTTTCTTTGGTGGTGGCAGACATTGTTTTTCATTACATTCAATGCTTGTTTTTGGGTTCAACAGTCCATATTTTGTACATTCAATCCATAGTAGTATAGGTTTAATATATTTCATCTCTGATTTATTTACCAAAATTTGTATTGCTGTGAGTGTGTGTAATTACTTAAAAGTAATTCCAGGATGAGATTTACGCTCGTAGTGACCTGTCTTCCCAGCATTCTATGTCACATAACACTTTAAAACTACTGACAGTTTTGGCCTCCATAATGTTTTTATTTAACTTGTTCTAACTGTCTACCACTCTGCAAAAGAAAACTTTCTAATATTTTATCGACACCTTTGTTTTCTTAGCTTGAATCTATGACCTCTTGCTCTTGAGGTTGCCAATTTCAGGAATTGGCAATGTTGCAATTATGTTGCATTTAGTGATCATATTGCTTCTTTTGCTTCTGCCTTCTAGTTTCGGCATATTTAACACATTTTGTGTCTCCATTTGTTTTTCAGTTCTAGAAGCCATTTTGTAGCATGCCTTTGCACTTTATACAGTTGATTGATGTGTTTCTTGAGATATGAACACTTTACAAATACAGCATATTCCAATTTTGTCTTGCAGAAATCATTAACATTTCTTTAGTATTTCACCATCCATGTAATTAACAGTATCGCCGGCGCCATGCACGCTCAGCAGACTTTGACGTCATGAGGCTAATGGTGTGGGCGAGCATGTGGCAACGCCTAAATGTGTATACTCGTTTCAGTTTTCTCACCTTAATTCTGGTGCAATGTCGTTCGTTTTGGTATCATTGTGTTCGCAATTAAATTCCCTGCAGATGTATATGCATATAATGTCCAAAAGCCTGGCAAGACTCCCCGCAGCAAAAGCCTAAAGTTATCCGTGAACGAGCACCAATTTGCACACCGCTACCTAATGTGTATGCTCGTTCAGTTTGATAACATCAATTTTCCTGTTACATCGCTCGTTTTGGTATCAAATTGTTCGCAAAATAAAGGCGCGCATTTTAAAACTAGTCCCATAATAGTAGAGCAATAACTGGAGTTTAAAACAAATATTTTAATTTTGGACACTCATCATCTAAATTATTTATATATTTCCAGTGTTCTGACATAAAATTTTATGTTACTTCGCTCGTTTTGGTATAAAATTGTTTGCAATATAATGGCGCGCATTTTAAAACTAGTCCCATAATTATAGCACAATAAATAGAATTTTAACAAATATTTTAAAATTTAAAATTTAGACCCAAAAACGTATTTATGATCTTTCAAGTGTTCTGACATCAAGTTTCGTGTTACATCTTTCCTTCTTCAAAGTGTGTGCATTTTAAAGACGCTTATTTTGAAACTATCCCGAGATCACTCGGATAAAAAATGAATTTTATACTCTACAAATATTTTTTGTAGTGGACGCAAGTCTTGTTCACAGCTGCAACTCGGGAGAAAAAAAATGGATGTGATCGGTGTCTAAAGCGAGCGATAGTGTTAATTGTGATTCTGAAGTTTGGTGGTTGTATAGTGCCCATATCTCAAGAAGCACATCAGTAAACTGGAAAAAGTGTAAATGCATGCTATCAAATAGATTCCAGAACTGAAAAGCAAGAGTTATGAAGAAAGGCTATCTTGAGATGATGATTTCGGGGCTTAGCGTCCCCGCACCCTGGTACTCGACCAGGCCTCCGTTTTGTTATTCACACCCCAGGAAGCAGCCCGTAGCAGCTGTCTAACTCCCAGGTACCTATCTCTCTCTCTCTCTCTTTGTGTGTGTGTGTGTGTGTGTGTAATTACCTAAGTGTAGTTATAGGATCAGAGCTACGCTCGTGGTGTCCCGTCTTCCCAGCACTCTTTGTCATATAATGCTTTGAAACTACTGACAGTCTTGGCCTCCACCATCTTCTCACCTAACTTGTTACAACCGTCTACCACTCTGTTTACGAAAGTGAATTTTCTTATATTTCTTCGGCGTGTGTGTGTGTGTGTGTGTGTGTACTCACCTAGTTGTGTTTGCGGGGGTTGAGCTCTGGCTTTTTGGTCCCGCCTCTCAACCGTCAATCACAGGTGTACAGATTCCTGAGCCTATTGGGCTCTATCATATCTACACTGTGTGTGTGTGTGTGTGTATGTGTAATTACCTAAGTGTAATTACCTAAGTATAGTTACAGGATGAGAGCTACGCTCGTGGTGTCCCGTCTTCCCAGCACTCTTTGTCATATAACGCTTTGAAACTACTGACGGTCTTGGCCTCCACCACCTTCTCACTTAACTTGTTCCAACCGTCTACCACTCTATTTGCGAAGGTGAATTTTCTTATATTTCTTCGGCATCTGTGTTCAGCTAGTTTAAATCTATGACCTCTTGTTCTTGAAGTTCCAGGTCTCAGGAAGTCTTCCCTGTCGATTATATCAATTCCTGTTACTATTTTGTACGTAGTGATCATATCACCTCTTTTTCTTCTGTCTTCTAGTTTTGGCATATTTAATGCTTCTAACCTCTCCTCATAGCTCTTGCCCTTCAGTTCTGGGAGCCACTTAGTAGCATGTCTTTGCACCTTTTCCAGTTTGTTGATGTGCTTCTTAAGATATGGGTACCACACAACAGCTGCATATTCTAGCTTTGGCCTAACAAAAGTCGTGAACAATTTCTTTAGTATATCGCCATCCGTGTATTTAGAAGCAATTCTGAAGTTAGAAAGCATAGCATAGGCTCCTTGCACAATATTCTTTATGTGGTCCTCAGGTGATAGTTTTCTATCTAGAAAACCTTTTTTAGGTCCAGATAGATGCAGTCAACCCAACCATCTCTTTCCTGTAATATTTCTGTGGCTCGATCATAGAAACTGAGTAAATTCGATACACAGGATCTTCCAGATCGTAAACCATACTGTCTGTCTGATATTATATCATTTCTCTCCAAGTGTTCTACCCATTTAATTTTGATTAGTTTTCCAATACTTTCACTATTACACTTGTCAATGATACAGGTCTATAATTGAGGGGGTCTTCCCTGCTGCTACTTTTGTAGATTGGAACTATGTTAGCCTGTTTCCACACATCTGCTACGATTCCTGTACACAGGGATGCCTGAAAGATCAGGTGAAGTGGAATGCTGAGCTCAGAAGCACATTCTCTCAGAACCCATGGTGAAACGCCATCTGGGCCAGCTGCTTTGTGCTTACTGAGCTCCTTTAGCATATTTTCCACTTCATCTCTAGACACCTCTATCCGCTCTATGTTGTTCTCTGGAAATCTTATTGTGTCTGGTTCTCTGAAGATTTCATTTTGTATAACACACTTTAGAACTTTGGAACTCTCTCTCTGTGTCTCTCTCCCTCCCTCCTCCTCCCTCCTCCTCCCTCCCTCCCTCCCTCCCTCCCTCCCTCCCTCCCTCCCTCCCTCCCTCCCTCCCTCCCCTCCCTCCCTCCCTCTCTCCCTCCCTCTCCCTCCCTCCTCCCTCTCCCTCCTCCCTCTCCCTCCCCCTCCCCCCCTCTCCCTCCCCCTCCCCCCCCTCTCCCCTTCTTCCCTCCCTACCTCCCTCCCCCTTTCTTTCTTTCTTTCTTTTAAATACTAAATCTCCATAAAGTGACGGATAGTTTGTGGCTTTTAGCAAATGTCGTGTAACTTCTTTGTTTCTGGATATTAAGTGTTATTCTGTGATTGCTTGAGCCTCCATATAAGGAAAATGGCTATTATTTCTCTTAAACTTTGTTTTGATTTTTGCCTCGGACAGCTTACAAAAGACATCTTGAAAGGTACCTGAAGGCTGCCAACTTTTGAAACAGTGTATCATAACTCTGGATAAGGAGTTGGCACTGTTCAAGTACTTTCAAAACGTCTTCTCTATACTGTGTGAGGCAAAGGTCAAACCATAGTTAGAGGGGAATAATAGTTGATATTTAAAGAATAGTTTAGCGGCATAAACGATAAATAATATCACTTACCAAGAACAAAAGTTGTTACATTGTGTATTTGGAACATATTGCCATCTTTTATTGTTTATCAGTCACATTTTGTATGCCTTGTACCTTGGATTAAGTACTGTGCAAGTTGACATATTTTGGTATTTTTAATATTCATCCAGCACATTATCTATGGCATCACCAATACTGTATGATAGATCAACTTGTTGTTAAAGTGACTCGCTGACAATATTAAGTTACTGTATACCAGAATATATTTATATATTACATTGATAAATGTAAATACAATACATTAAATTTTCCTTTAACCCTCAAAGTGCTATTATCATGATGCATTGATGATGCAATATGGTGATCATTATATGATGATGTAATCTCATGTCAGTGTTTGAATTCTGATGCTGCCCATATGGTTCCAATAGCTTAGCAGTGTCTTGCAGCAGTCATGGGAGGCCACAATGTACTACACTTTAGTCACACCAACTTCAACTCTGGCTCCTATCATCATATAATAATTGTTGCATGTAGGACTTGCCTGGCTCAACAAAAAAGATCTTCACTGTATATATTTGTTTGGTTTTCTTTTTGCTTGGGTATACACATTTCCGTATACACATACACATATACACCTTTTGAATATACATACCGCAAGGGTGACGAATGCCAGAAGGATGTTGAACGCTTGCCTGGCCAAATAATGGCAGATATGACTTTTTCATATTTTTCAATACATGTCTACAATTTCATTAGAAAGTAGAAGTAAATTATTTTTTCCCCATCAAAGGCAGGGGTAGCTATTTTCATAGCCACACTGAGGGTTAACATACAGTTTACAATATTTGTATTAATTTTGTCTTCTGAATGACCTGTAATATTCCACATAATAATTTTCAACATCTAGGATCTGTTTGTTCTATACAGTACTGTATATCTCTTTTTCTTAATGTCAACAACCGTAGCTTTTGATGTATTATTCCGTGTGTGTGCTCTACTTTCCAGGGCACATGCTGCCTTTAGTCATTAAGGGGTCAACATTTATCTGTCATTGTAATGAAAGGTATCACAGTTGGTTCTTCTCTAACTTTAAGCTCTTACAGTTGCTTCTTTCTCAGGGAAGGTGAGGTGATGTAGTTATCATACTGTTCAGTGATGTGCATATACCGCTGATGTTTCTTTCTCTATTTCTTCAAGATTAACTTGTCTCTTCATAATTCTTGTTATATGTAAGGTTATAACAGGCAGCAGTCTTGCCTTGGTCTGTTCTTCAACAGGAATGTATTTTAATTAAAATAGTGTATTTTTTAAATATGCTGATATGACAACAGTCATGCATCGATTTGCTTTTCAAGAGAAATAATACTCCAAACATTTGAATTTTTCCATGACCATCATATCTAAAATTGTTTTGCATTATATATGAACATTACAACTCAGATAAGTTAATGCTCTGCATTTCTTGGTTAATTGTAGAAACTGATAAATATATACTGAGAGTTGATACAATGTGAGCAAATATTATCACTGAATGATTAGTGTTGCTACTTGAAGCAAATATTGGAATAAACACACTCATCTTTCTTCTTATCCTCACTATCATATATAGATGGTTGTGTGTGTTCAGATTTTCATTAAAATCATATTGTCAAATATAATAAATGCATTGAATAATATATACTGTATATATTTTTTGGGTAAGTCTACACAGAATAAATTTGTATATAAAGTATGTATGCATTCCTGTGTGTGTGTAATTGCTTAAGTGTAATTATGTAAGTGTATTTGCAGGATGAGAGATACACTCGTTGTGCCACTTTTCCTCAGTGCTCTGTCACATAACGCTTTGAAACTACTGACGGTTTTGGCCTCCACCGCCTTCTCACCTCTTCCAACCATTTCCCACCCTGTGAAAGATAAATTTCCTATATTTTTTCGACATCTTTGTTTCCTTAGTTTGAATCTATGACTTTTTAAACATTCCTCTTTGTCTATTTTGTTGATTCCTGTTATTATTTTTATCTAGTTATCATATTGCCTCTTTTCCTTTTATCTTATAGCGTTCACATATTTAACACCTCTTGCCTCTCCCTGTAGCTAATGTTTTTCAGTTATGGAAGCCATTTACTAGCATGTATTTGCACCCTTTCCAGTTCATTGAGGTGCTTCTTGAGATATGGGCACCGTACAGCTGCTGCTTATTTCAAATTTGGTCTCACAAAAGTCATGAACAGTTTCTTTAATATTTCACATCCTTGAATCAAAAGTGATTCTTAAGTTGGAAAGCATAGCATAGGCTCCTCACACATTGTCCGTTTTGTGGTCCTCTAGTGACAGTTTACCATCCAGAACCACCCCTAATCTCTTTGTCAGAGTTCTTTAATGCATTTTCACATAATTTTTAGGTTGTGTGTGACCTATTTTCTCCTGTTCCACATTCCATAACATGGCATTTGTTCACATTGAATTACATCTGCCAAGTGTTACTCCATGCAGTTGTGTTTTGGTCATCTTGAAGGACTTAAAAATTGTCTAAGTCTCTTTATCTTCCCTATCTAACACCTTGAAAATTTTTTCTACTTCATCTCTAAGCACTTCTTTAGACTGTACTCTGTTGTTCTCTGAAATCCATATTGTGTCTGGTTCTCTGAAAACCTAATTTTGCTACAAACACACTTTGGAACTGTTCCTTTAGTGTATCATACATTTCCTATTCATTTTTCGACAATCTGTACTCCATTTTCAACCTCTGAATTTTATGCTTTACATGCAACCTACTTTTAATAAATTTATAGAATATGCCTGGTTCTGTTTTACATTCCTCTGCTAACCCTTTCTCAAAGTTTTTTCTGGCTCTCTCCTCATAGCTGTATAATTATTTCTTGCTTGTTTGTATTGCTGGTAACCTGGTATCTTGTAAATTTTCCTCCTTCTTGTCGGCCTTGTGTGGCCACGAGTCATGTCTCGTGGTTTCTTCTTTGTTATTGTCCAAGTGTTGTTACAGGATGAGAGCTAAGCTCATGGTGTTCTATCTTCCCACCATTGTGATATTTGCAATGCTCTCGCCTTCCTGACTAGTCCCCCTTTGTTTTTCTTTTCTATGGGTAGGTAGCTTCAGGGAGCCGCAAGAATTCCACTCAAAAAACCAGCATTGAATGTAATGAAATGCCAATCAATGGGTGAGCCCCAGTGGCTCCCTGACACCCTTTCTCCCCCAGAGAGTGGGGGGGGGGGGTTGGTGGTTTTTACCATTATTATGGTGGTCGAGAGCAGAGCAGTGGGCTGACCCAGTCTGCCTCTCTCCTCTCCCCAAACGAGGGGAGGAGGTAGGGCAATCTAGCTCGCACCATTTTCAAAGGAAAATGTCAGTGATTTTAGGAGGATAGGAAAATGAGAAAGACAAAAATTGCCCCGTAAGGGGTGACATTTAATGGAGGTAAACAAATGACAGAAGTGCTTAGACAAGTCAGGAAATTCCAGTGTGATGAGGAAGGCAAACTTTGATCAGTAGGACAAGAATTTTCAAAGGAAGACAGAGAAAAGCTGAAAATAAACTTTGATGAAGCGAAACGTCTAAATGGAAATAGAAACAAAGAAAGATTTTTTTTTCCTACAGTGTTAGGGACTAGAAAGCTATTGAAGTAGACCATAAAAAACAAAGCAACAAAATCATTAGAGGAAGGGAAAGTAAAGGATAAAGAGAAAGGGAACAGGTTCCTGAAAATTGTATATACCAACATAGATGGAGTGAGATAAAAAATACTGGAGCTAAGGGATATAATTCAGCTTAACCAGTGCACTGCGCAACACGTCTTGAGGCTCTCGCGGGTGGTGCACAACGTGCCTCGGGGATCTTATAGGTATAGCATACGATTCAAAACTGGCACGTGGTGACGCAGGTATGAAATAGATGCCTGAGGCCTCCAGTAATCATCTCCCATTTTGAAAAAAATTTCCAGCATGCCCCAGGACCATGGGGAGCCTGGGTTTCAAGGAAGTAACCATGTCTGACGCATCATCTAGGAGCTACGACCTATGAGTCCACGGTCAGCCACGGTCCAGCAAAACGACTCTCAGAGGACCAAATACATGACATATTGTATGATGGACCCATGGATGACAATTTAGACTACAGTCCTGAAAAAGACCTAACACAGAGGTCGGACACGAGTGAAGGGAAAGCCAAGGTGGACGATGTCATGAGTGTGTACCATACACGCGCCTTGCCCAGCCTGCCTCACTGCCCTGGATCAACACTGTTAGAGTCATCATCACCTTGTGTGATCCCTGATGTGAGTTTATTTGGTGATACTGTACTACATTTGATAAATCATTCTCAGGATTCAGTGACATAGGCTCCAATACAAGCAGTGTTGATGATGCAAGTACAAGCAGTGATGGTGTTACTAGTTACTTTTGCTGCCCCAGCAACACACTGAGGCAAGTGCCAGCATGTCACGCGGCCAGAGGACAATGATGACAGTGTTCCCTCGACATCAGGTGTTCGTGACAGGCCTTCACTGTGAAGAACACTCTCGTCTCCTGGCATACCTATACACAAGTCTAGCACAAGACGTCGATGCTGTGTTTTTGGTGCTCATGGTGGTGTTGGCCCCAAAACCAAAACTTGTGTGGGAGGATTGTGAGATTTTTGTCCCATAAATTCCAACGTATGATGGTACTGTACCGATGTTGGTGTGACACCGTTGTTCCCCTATACTAGTGGTGATATGGCTGAAATAGATTATTTTATGGCACATTTTGATCAGGAATTCATGGACCATCTCATTGCAGAGATGAACAGATATGCTCACAGCCTCATTGACTCTGGCATTTTACCTGCCTCTCGCATGACACGTTGGAAAGACACGACAAATGAGGAAATGTATGTGTTTTTAGCGTTGTGCATGATGATGAAACATTCTGAAAAGCACGTGATCCAGGATTATTGGAGCAAAGCCAGCCTTGTTCCATCCCCCGTCTTCAACAGGTACATGTCACATGACAGGTTCAGGTTCGGGGACCTCAGGACAGGTCCCCCTTTAATGCTCTGTAATGTCGATAAATGCAGGACCTTGCATGTGAAGCATAATAATCCACATCACAACTACAACATTGACAGCACAACCTTACAACAGATAGATGAAGAAAAGGACCTTGGTATCAGAATCCATCATTCACTAAAAGTTGCACAAGTGGGAGTGGCAGTGAAAAAAACGAACCAAACCTTGGGAATAATCAAGTGTACCTTTACCTTCAAGGAAAAGAGAGTAGTCGTTCAACTATTATAAGGTACTGGTGGGCCCCCCACCTGTATTATTGCATCCTATAATCAATAATCAATATTGCATCTAGGGAATAATCAAGTGTACCTTTACATTCAAGGAAAAGACAGTAGTTGTTCAACTCTTATAAGGTACTGGTGGGCCCCCAACCTGTATTATTGCATCCAAGCATGTAGACCTCATCTTCAGAAAGACATAGCTGCTTTGGAGTAGGTACAACACTGGGCAACAAAAATCATACCAGAGCTTAGTCATCTCTCGTATCAGGAATGGTTGAGGGCCACTGGGCTAACAACACTGCAGACATGGCATGACAGGGCAAATCTAATAGAAACCTTCAAAGTACTAAACAATTTGGATGATGTTGATCCAAACACTGTCTTCAAAAGGTCAGCTGTAACACGAACAAGGAGCAACGGGTTCAAGCTCAAAGCCACAATGTAGAACAGAAAACAGGAGATGCTTTTTCACCCATAAGGTTGTAAACCTGAGGAATCGCCTATCCGCCAAGGCCATAAATGTCAAAACTCTGCTGGATTTTAAAATACATACAGATATAAAAGATCATCCAGGCAAATGGGGGGGGACCCTTGACAAGCCGCCAGCTTCCTGTCCTCATTGAGGCCACTAGCATTAGTGGCCCTCAGGTAAATTCAGGTAAACGTGTCTCTTTGTAGTGTCTCATCTTTGTTTAGACTGCTTGCAGTTTCTCTCCTCCCTGGTGAGTCCCTGTATTTCTTCTGTTTCCGAGAGTAGTTAGCTTCTGGGAGACATAAGGGCCCCTTTCCCTAACAGAAAACCAGTGTTGAATGTAATGAAATGCCAATTACTGGGTGAGATAATTTGTGTTGTATGTACAGTGTCATACAACACAGCATACATGGATCAGAGATCCACCAATTTTTGGTGGCTCTCAGATTCCCCCTTTCCCCACTCCATTCAAGGTCATTAGGTGGGGGGGCGTGTTTGTGCATCTGCCCCAGAACCGAGTGCTCAAGCCCTTGGGTGGTAAGAGCCCCCTTTCCTCCCCAGTGAGTTGGGAAGGTGGGGCAAACGAGCACACAATAGTTTTAAGAGATTCAATAATTTGTTTACATAGTTGAGGTTCATTGGGCAGGTTGTAGGCTTTCTTCTCTTTTGAACCCAGTAGTAGTCTGTTTTGGTTCGGTGACTTTCTGGATGCTTTTCCCGGTGAGGTGATATGACATAATTTCACCTGCCACTTGTGCCTCTGTAAAGGAAGGGCCATATTTTGACTCTGATCCCCCAATAAGCCTAAGAACTCCACAGCTGATGTGACCTAGCAGTTGGGAACCATCTCAGCAAGATAGTTTCACAGAGGCATCATTGCAAGCCCAGAAATTAGCATTTCATTATATTCTACGCTGGTTTTTGCTTTGGCTAGTACAGTATTATGTTTAATAACTCTTAAGTAAGGTTATGGTGACTAAATACTGAAAATACAATCCTAGTGTTAGGAATAATTCACTTTAAACATCAATAAAAATGGTCATACAAATATTACAGTATGACTAATTGTCAACATTTGCGAAGTGAAGTATTATATTCGTCATGATACTTTATGTTGTTGATGCTATACCTCTAATATTATATGTTGCATGATATTGTACACATTGTGTTGTATGACACTGTATATGCTGTGTTGTATGACACTGTATATGCTGTGTTGTATGACACTGTACATGTTGTGTTGCATGACACTGTATATGCTGTGTTGTATGACATTGCACATGCTGTGTTGTATAACACTGTATATGCTGTGTTGTATGACACTATATGCTGTGTTGTATGACATTGCACATGCTGTGTTGTATGACACTACATGTTGTGTTGTATTGGCACAGTACACAGTGTTGTATGACACTGTATATGCTGTGTTGTATGACACTGTGCACACTGTGTTGTATGACACTGTGTTGTATGACACTGTGCACACTGTGTTGTATGACACTGTGCACACTGTGTTGTATGACACTGTATATACTGTGTTGTATGACACTGTACATGTTGTGTTGTATGACACTGTACATGTTGTGTTGCATGACACTGTATATGCTGTGTTGTATGACATTGCACATGCTGTGTTGTATAACACTGTATATGCTGTGTTGTATGACACTACATGTTGTGTTGTATTGACACTGTACATGTTGTGTTGTATGACACTGTATATGCTGTGTTGTATGACACTGTGCACACTGTTTTGTATGACACTGTATATGCTGTTTTGTATGACACTGTATATGCTGTGTTGTATGACACTGTGCATGTTGTGTTGTATGACATTGCACATGCTGTGTTGTATTGACACAGTACACAGTGTTGTATGACACTGTATATGTTGTGTTGTATGACACTGTATATGCTGTGTTGTATGACACTACATGTTGTGTTGTATGACACTGTACATGTGATGTATGACACAGTATAGGCTGTGTTGTATGACACTGTACATGTTGTGTTGTATGACACTGTACATTGTGTTGTATGACACTGTTGTATGACACTGTACAGGTTGTGTTGTATGACACTGTACATGCTGTGTTGTATGATACTGTACATGTTGTGTTGTATGAGACAGTACAGGTTGTGTTGTATGACACTGTACAGGTTGTGCTGTATGACACTGTACATGTTGTGTTGTATGACACTTGTATGACACTGTACATGTTGTGTTGTATGACACTGTACAGATTGTGTTGTATGAGACTGTACATTGTGTTGTATGACACTGTACATGTTGTGTTGTATGATACTGTACACATTGTGTTGTATGACACTGTACAGTGTTGTATGACTGTACATTGTGTTGTATGAAACTGTGCATTGTATTGTATGACACTGTACAGGTTGTGTTGTATGACACTGTGCATTGTATTGTATGATACTGTACATGTTGTGTTGTATGACACTATTGTATGATACTGTACATGTTGTGTTGTATGATACCTGTTTGATGGGCTTCTGGGGGTTCTAATACTTCCTAAACCCGACCCAAGACTAGGCTTGACTTGTGAGAGCTTGGTCCTACATTGACACTGTACAGGTTGTGGTGTATACCACTGTCCATGCTGTGTTGTATGACACTCCATGCTGTGTTGTATGACACTCCATGCTGTGTTGTATGACACTGTCCATGCTGTGTTGTATGACACTCCATGCTGTGTTGTATGACACTGTCCATGCTGTGTTGTATGACACTCCATGCTGTGTTGTATGACACTCCATGCTGTGTTGTATGACACTGTCCATGCTGTGTTGTATGACACTGTCCATGCTGTGTTGTATGACACTGTCCATGCTGTGTTGTATGACACTGTGCATTGTGTTGTATGACACTGTACAGGCTGTGTTGTATACCACTGTCCATGCTGTGTTGTATGACACTGTCCATGCTGTGTTGTATGATGCTGTGCATTGTGTTGTATGACACTGTACAGGCTGTGTTGTATACCACTGTCCATGCTGTGTTGTATGACACTGTCCATGCTGTGTTGTATGATACTGTGCATTGTGTTGTATGACACTGTACAGCTGTGTTGTATACCACTGTCCATGCTGTGTTGTATGACACTGTTCATGCTGTGTTGTATGACACTGTGCATTGTGTTGTATGGCACTGTACAGCTGTGTTGTATACCACTGTCCATGCTGTGTTGTATGACACTGTCCATGCTGTGTTGTATGATACTGTGCATTGTGTTGTATGACACTGTACAGGTTGTGTTGCATACCACTATCCATGCTGTGTTGTGTGACACTGTCCATGCTGTGTTGTATGACACTCCATGCTGTGTTGTATGACACTGTCCATGCTGTGTTGTATGACACTCCATGCTGTGTTGTATGACACTCCATGCTGTGTTGTATGACACTGTCCATGCTGTGTTGTATGACACTGTCCATGCTGTGTTGTATGACACTGTCCATGCTGTGTTGTATGACACTGTGCATTGTGTTGTATGACACTGTACAGGCTGTGTTGTATACCACTGTCCATGCTGTGTTGTATGACACTGTCCATGCTGTGTTGTATGATGCTGTGCATTGTGTTGTATGACACTGTACAGGCTGTGTTGTATACCACTGTCCATGCTGTGTTGTATGACACTGTCCATGCTGTGTTGTATGATACTGTGCATTGTGTTGTATGACACTGTACAGCTGTGTTGTATACCACTGTCCATGCTGTGTTGTATGACACTGTTCATGCTGTGTTGTATGACACTGTGCATTGTGTTGTATGGCACTGTACAGCTGTGTTGTATACCACTGTCCATGCTGTGTTGTATGACACTGTCCATGCTGTGTTGTATGATACTGTGCATTGTGTTGTATGACACTGTACAGGTTGTGTTGCATACCACTATCCATGCTGTGTTGTGTGACACTGTCCATGCTGTGTTGTATGACACTGTACTGGTTGTGTTGTATGAATCTGCATTGTATTGTATGACACTGTACAGGTTGTGTTGTATGACACTGTTCAGGTTGTGTTTTATGACACTGTTCAGGTTGTGTTGTATGACACTGTTCAGGTTGTGTTGTATGAGACTGTTCAGGTTGTGTTGTATGACACTGTTCAGGTTGTGTTGTATGACACTGTTCAGGTTGTGTTGTATGACACTGTTCAGGTTGTGTTGTATGAGACTGTTCAGGTTGTGTTGTATGACACTGTTCAGGTTGTGTTGTATGAGACTGTTCAGGTTGTGTTGTATGACACTGTTCAGGTTGTGTTGTATGACACTGTTCAGGTTGTGTTGTATGACATTGTACAGGTTGTGTTGTATGACACTGTGCATTGTGTTGTATGACAATGTTCAGGTTGTGTTGTATGACATTGTACAGGTTGTGTTGTATGACACTGTCCATGCTGTGTTGTATGACACTGTACAGGTTGTGTTGTATACCACTGTCCATGCTGTGTTGTATGACACTGTACAGGTTGTGTTGTATACCACTGTCCATGCTGTGTTGTATGACACTGTGCATTGTGTTGTAGAGCACTCTACAGGTTGTGTTGTAGAGCACTCTACAGGTTGTGTTGTATGGCACTGTATTTGCCAATGTGACCAAAAATAATGACTGCAGCTCATATTGTACACCGCTTGGAATGACTACATTCACTCATATAATGCCATAGGTCCTACGATGTGGATAGTGACATTCCATATCCACTGTGTGTGTGTTGTAATATTTATTTTTAAGGTTTGTTATATAGATGAAACCACTCTCTTATTCTGAGAATAAGAGAGTGAGATAATGAGCTATCAATATCCACCACTATTACATATGCTGGATTCCTGGTGCCTAACAAACATGTGATAAGCACCTTTCAGTGGTGTTAATACAACCATTCTTTTTTTTTTTATCTCGCATATTAATTTTACCTAGAATATTTATATCCTAATTTGAAAATAGTTCATAAAGAGTAGTTAATTATTTTAAATGAATTTTGTCATCTAGAGTTTTAAGACAAACATGTTGGTTTGAGACCTGTTTATCTGGTATCTCATTATAACTGGTTGATATCCTTTGTATGTTAGAATATTTTGTCAACTCGCCTGATGAAAAACATTTTGTTTCAGTCAATAGATGGAATGAAATCAAAGGAGGGTACCTCAGGATTTGAATTTTGATGTTTTGAAGCAACAAAAGTGTGTCATATATGAATATCTGGCTTGCAGAGTGATGGATCAAGTTTAATAATGAAAAGTGTGAACAAATTGTAAATATTGAATCAATAAAACTACATTTTAAGTGAATCTTCCAAATTGTTATATGATGACATGTGGTGTAGTGTTCTCTGAGCCTTTGTTTTGAGATACTGGTGCTGATGGTGGTACATTGACATAATGTTTTCTAGTTATAGCCACCAGTAATGTGACTAGAGGATGGCATATCTCTTGAGAGTCGGCCACACTCATCAACCAGTCAAACCATATACAAATCTAGTAAATGGATATTGTAATTGTGTGTGAAGGCAACCTAAGCTGTGTATCAACAAGTTTTGGCCTGGGATTTACTGGGATAAAGATGTTAAATCAGTTTGAAACTCCATCACACTGTATGTCATATATTGCATTACTAATATCAAAATGATTTTGTAAGAATATAATAAATTAGTAAACCATTATATAAATCACTGGCTAATTAAAAAAATATGAATTGTTTAATGTTTTCATATATGCTAATGCCAGACTGGTATTTAAATAACACCTACAGATAAAGCTGTCCAGGTATAGATAAGGTAAGCAGATATTTAAAGTATCTTTTACTAGTTATTTAATTATAGTCAACATTTTGTGTATATATTAAGTGATAAGTTACAAATATGTATATATCTAGTATTGTACATGTAGATCTTGTATAGAAATGTTGTTATCTTGTTAGTTATCTGTTGAACATATTATTTTTCATCACTACTCTATAATCAAATTAAGGTTTTATACCAGTATTATTGTATTGTAATACTGGGCAACTGTATTTACAACATGTTTATTCAAAGTATAAGAGCAGTTTGGTGTATTCCTTCTTGGAACATTATATTATCTCCCAACATCCAGTACTGTACAAAGCAATATGAAGAAATTATTTTAGGTTCACTTACTCAAATGAGAGTGGCTAGTCCTTGTTTATCACCACTTGGATGAAACTTTAGTTAGTATGAAAATGGATGAATAATATTTATACTGTACATGGTTTTACTAAATTTATTTAAAACAAAAAAGTGTGTTGTTGTAGGTGTAATATGGAGATAAATGCCAGGCTTATCATAGCATGCATTCTGGGAATTAGACAAGCATAGTAAGAGAAATGTTCATGCTACCAATTGTTTTAGCATTTATAATATTTTGATATATGTGTACTGTATTTACTGTTCATTAATTTATTAATAAAATACATACCAATAGAATTTTTGCTTCAGACATGTTAAAATTATTATTGCCTCTCATGTGTTTTTTTTTTTTTTTAAATGTTTATAATTTAACCATTATTTTGATAAATATTACCTTCAGTACTGTCAAAATAATGTGTCAAGCAGGCCCATATTCATGCTTTCATTTTGAGAGGGTTAAGTCACCATTAACATGTTGAACTCTTTAACCCTTGTATGGCACCTGGCTACTTAGCATGTGTCACTTACAGGCGCATACCAAAAAAAAAAAAAAAAAAAATCTAAACCTGTTAATTTGTGTTCTCTGATCATGGGAAAAATAATAAAAAAAATTGTAAGTGGCATATATTGCCCGCTATACGACGGGGAAGTCTGGCAAAAAACAGGCGCTGGCTTGGCGTGCGTCCCAGGCGGTCTGTTGTTCGCCAGCTGTCAGGCCGGAGTTGCCACAAAGAGATAATTACCTAATTATTTCAATGTCTGATTGATTTTTCGTAGTTTTTTGCTGTAATATTATTCAATAGTGTGTAGTGTGATATATTTATATAATAAAATGAGTGAATCATCGCTGTATTAAAAAATATGGTATGCATATTGTTGATTCAATTATGTTCATTAAACAGTGAACAAATACTTTGTCGGTTATTACACTATATACTCAGGTTATATATAAGTATCTGCATGTTTTGTTCACTATAACGAACCACTAAGTTGCTATTATGAGTCAAAAAGTAACGAGGAGTGACCGTCACACACCAGCCAGCCACTCACTCCCTCAACACCTCACTCGCCCACATTCTCCTCCCACCATACTGTTTTTGCTTTTATTCACTATATACAGACGTTATATATAAGTATCTACATTTGTGTTCACCATAACGAACCACTAAGTTGGCATGCTGAGTGGCAGTGCCAGTGGCAGCCCGCCACTGGCTGCTACTTCCTCCCTCCCTCAAGTCACCTGACTCACCCACATTCTCCTCCCACAATACTGTTTTTGCTTTTATTCACTATATACAAACGCTATATATAAGTATCTACATTCGTGTTCACCATAACGAACCACTAAGTTGGTGTGCTGAGTGGCAGCCAGTGGCAGCCCGCCACTGTCTGCCACTCCCTCCCTCCCTCACCTCACCTGACTTGCCACCATTCTCCTCTCACCATACTGTTTTTGCTTTTATATACAGACGTTATATATAAGTATTTACATGTTTTGTTTACCATAACTGTACATCTAAGCTTGTATGGTGAGTAAAGGCACAAAGACGTAGCTACTCTCACAGTCAGCTGGTGGCGGCGGTCCTCAAGGCCAGACGCACTAATATTTCTCCAACAATACTGTTTGTGGTGTTCTTACGCTATATACACACATTATATATAAGTATCTACCTGTTTTATTCACCATACTTGTACAAGTAAACTGGTATGGTGCCCAAAGACTATTGTGGTCACCAGTAAAAAACATTAGTCGTGCAGACGACGCTACCTTCCTCACCAAACTGGCGGCTCCCAACCTACTCCTATTGCTGTTTATACCCTCTATACACACACGTTATATATAAGTATCTACATGTGTGTTCACCATAGCAAACCACTAAGCTGGTATGGTGAGTGCAGTCAATAAAAGGTGGCCACACACAGTCAGAAGACAACGCCACCACCCTCCCTCCCACAGCATTACTCCTCCTTTCATGGAGCACAGCGCTAAATATCACCACAATCCTGCTATTATCAGAACCCTGGTCAGTTTTATCACAGTCAGGGGTCTTCTGTAATATCATTGCTACATAATGGCATGAACAAGTATATTATGGCATTTTTAGGTGATGCTGTGGTCAGAAGCTGAACAGCAGTGCTGTGAGCTCATGCTGCGTGTGTCAGGCTTGGTAGCTCACTCAATACTGAGGCCCCTAACACCCGGGAATTTGGCTAACGATTTTTTTTTTAAATGGCGTCTGTTTACAAGAGCCCTGATGAAGGTGTGGTGAACCCTGTGTATCCGCGGGCCGTTTAAATCTTGTGTAGTACTCCAAAGCATCATATGATGCGATGCGCAATTTACTGCAAGTCGGTCAGAGCATCATATGATGCAATGCGCAACTTAAGGGTTAATAAATATGAGTTACACAAAAATAAAGGCCTATTACAGAGAATTTAAGCCCATTCCTTCTATAAATTCAACCTTCTTTTGTATGTTTTAACTCCAAGATAAATGAAGGCTCTAATTTGAGACACTCAGGATATTAGTTCAGACATTTGTTTATAATTACAATTTAAATATAATTTCTTACATTTTATATGAATTTTATGATGGAAATAATTGGCGTAGTATGGCTACAAGAGGAAAGTTATAGAGAATGCATCTTTCTATCAGTTGCACTAAATAATATTGGAAGTTTGGCAAATGATACTCATGCAATACTAAATGCTCACACTTACTGATGTCAACCTTCTCCGTGTATTGCAAAATAATAGTTCTCCAATTTACTGTTACTGTCCAACTTGTGTGTTCTTGTCATGGACAGTCCTTCCCTACTGTTACTGTCCAACTTGTGTGTTCTTGTCATGGACAGTCCTTCCCTACTGTTACTGTCCAACTTGTGTGTTCTTGTCATGGACAGTCCTCCTTCACAATTTTGATTGCTAAACCATCTTTGGGATTTCTTTGATAAATGTTTTGGTTGTTCCTTACAAGGATTTATAATAAATGCTTGAAGACACTTAGTATACCTATGAAAGAATTTGTATTCCAATGCCTTATGGATAGGAAGTTTCCAGAGGGAACAAAGTGTCACAATGTTATATGAATGTAACTACCTAAGTGTAGTTACAGGACAAGAGCTGTACTCATGGTGCTCCATCTTCATGATGATCTTTGTCATATGATGCTTTGAAACTACTAATCGTTTTGTCATCAGGCACCTTCTCACTTAACTTGTTCTAACCATCTACAACTCTGTTCTCAAAAGAGAACCTTGTTTTTTCAGCACCTTTGTTTCCTTACCTTGAATCTATGGCCTCATGCTCTTGAAATGCAGATTTAAAAAAAAACTTGACCTGACTAGAGGTCGAGGAGACTTTCCTGACCAGAGGTCAAGATATATATTCAGTATGTTTAAAGTTAGGGATGATTTGTTTGAATGTATTTATTTGTTTATTTATTTGTTTATTTATATACAAGAAGGTACATTGGGGGTTAACAGAGAACATAGAAATTAAGTTGATTTTACATTCTTGTAAAGCCACTAGCACGCATAGCGTTTCAGGCAAGTCCTTAAACTAACATAATTTTTAGATAATTCACAGTAAAATTGACAAAAAATGTTTACAGGTACTTTACAGCTTTACAGGTATAGATAATTTTAACACTTCGGCTTGGTAACGACACAGCATTGCATCGTTCTTTTACTCGGGGGTAGTTCTGTAGCGACACAGCATTGCCTCATTTCCGGCGGCAAATTGGCGGCGGCTTCAGGAGGGGCGTGCCACTGTTTTGGACATTATATGCATATACACCTGTAGGGAATTCCATTGCGAATACATTGATACCTAAATGAAAGACCTAGGACCAAAATTGAGGTAACAAAGTTGAAAAGAGTATACCCATTTTATTGCTCTTTATTAGCGCTCACTGAGGTAACACACCGTCACATTCTCTGTTTGTTGTGGGTGGGATGCTGGGCATTTGAACTTTATATTTGCATATACTCCTGTACGGAATTCTATTGCGAACACAATGACACCAAAATGAAAGATCTAGGACGAGAATTGAGATGTCCAAAATGAAGAGAGTGTACACATTTTATTGCTCCTACGCACTCCCGGGTAATACGCTCTCCCGGTAATACACTCTCACTTTCTTGCCTGGCTTTTGGGCTCTACATGCATTTAGTCCTGTAGAGAATTCTATTGCAAACACATTGATACCAAATTGAAAAACCTAGGACGAGAATTGAGATGACAAAGTTAAAGAGTATACACATTTCGGTATGACCGAGCGCTCTATTGTAATGAGAGGCGCCTTGGGGGTGGTGCAGCGCTCTCTTTCTAGTGACTTTCATCTTGTCGGCAGGTGGAGTGCGCCGCTGTTTTTGACATTTTATGCATATACTCTTGTTGGGAATTCTATTGCGAACACATTGATGCCAAAATGAAAGACCTAGGATGAGAATTGGGGTAACCAAAGTGAAAAGAGTGTACACATTTTATCGGTCTTGCAAGCTCCAAGGTAACATGCTCTCACTTTCTCTGTTTGTTGCGGATGGTACGCTGGGCATTTGGACTTAACACTTTCGCGCTATCTGGACGCGCCGGCGCGTCCCGTTTCGTCTAACGCTAACGCATAGTGGACATAAAGTTGAGTCCTCTTTTAAAATATTTGTATAAAATTCAATTTTTATCCGATTTACTTTGGGTTTGTTTCAAACTGCGCGCTATGAGGCTCTCTTTCTCACCACTAGGCTGCATGGTACAATAATTTCATGAAAGGTGTGGATAACTTCGATCAAATGGTATTTTGTCCCAAACGGGTTGCAGGTGGGTGACTTTAGCCGTTTATACTGGAAATGCTTCCCCCATATCATGTATTATATGCATATGTCTGTTTAGGGAATTTTATTCCGATCAATATACAACCAAAAATAACTGTGTGCAACAAGTATAAACTTGACAAACATAACAAAAGTAAAAACATTTCGTGTGTGTTTGACGCTCACTGATATGTTCCAGTGTTGTTTTATATTTGGCGCTATTCTAACTTACGCTTTGTTGATATTTTTTACCTATGGGCACATAGAACATTCTATTGCGAACACATTGACACAAAAATGAATGACGTACATAGAAAATTAATGTCATGAGAGTGAAATAAGTATAAACTTTCAAAGCGCCGTGCGTCGTCCCGTCAACGATACCAGGTAACAATTTCACCACTTCCCACACTCTTGCGGGCGGGCCGCATCATTATTCTACGCTTATATTCATATCACCGTGTTGGGAATTTCATTGCGAGT